GGGGGAATGAGACAATTTTGCAGCGTTTTGTGGGGCAGAAGGAACAATCAATGGCATAGGGCTTCGAGGAAGAGTTATTCCTTTCCCAAAGCACCCAAAACCATGGGGCAATTGCATCTTTGGAAACCACCCTTGGGGTGCAGGCAGGACCTTGAGGGTTTGCAAGGGTTTTGGCTGAGCCGTGCTGCCCGTCCCTGCCAGACATGCTGCTCCACCGCTACGTGGTGTCCCGCCTCATCTGGGCCTACATGCTGTCCATCGCCATGACCTACTTCATCACGCTGTGCCTCTTCCCGGGGCTGGAGTCAGAGATCCACAACTGCACGCTGGGGGAGTGGCTCCCCATCCTCATCATGGCCATCTTCAACCTCTCCGACTTCGTTGGCAAGGTAGGAGAGAGGCCACCGCCAATGTCCCCTCCACCCCTGCCTCCTTTTTTTGTGTCCTGTTACAAAGCCCCTTGGCTGCACGTCAGGGCAATCTGCACCCCATGCGTATCCAACCAAGCGTGAGGATGCTCACCAGCATGGCTGAGCTTGGACTCCTGAAGCAGATGGGCTTTCCACCATCTCATCTTCTGCTCGCTGCCCCTTTTTGGGCACCACATTGCCCTCCCCCAGCCTCCTTGCTTCTCCAGCCCCATCTCTGCCCCTCGCTGCAGATCCTGGCCGCCCTGCCCTACGACTGGAGAGGGACCCACCTCCTCATCTACTCCTGCCTCCGCGTGGTCTTCATCCCCCTCTTCATCATGTGCGTCTACCCCAACGGGAAGCCCACCTTCGGCCACCCCGCCTGGCCCTGCATCTTCTCCCTCCTCATGGGCATCACCAATGGCTATTTTGGCAGCATCCCCATGATCCTGGCCGCTGGGAAAGTGAGCCCCGAGCAGCGGGAGCTGGCAGGTAGGACCAAGCCCTCTTGGGGATCCCCATATTGGGTAGCCAAAGCGTTCTGACACCCCATATCCCTTCCCGCAGGGAACACCATGACCGTGTCCTACATGACAGGCTTGACGTTGGGCTCGGCTGTGGCGTATTTTGCCTACAGCCTCACCAGTACGTCCCACAGTAGCTGTTTCTACACCGAAATCTCCAACGGCTCCTTCACGTTGGGGTACTGAGCCCCAGGGCGGGGTGACGAGGACGGGACCAGCTTCCCACCATGGTCCCCACTGTCCCCCTTAGCCTGTGTCCCTCCTTAAGGAGGGAGCCTTGGACCAGAAACTGCCCCGGGGTGGACAGGGACTGGGATCCCATTAGCATGGGGCTGTGGCATTCCAAAAACCAAGCACTGTGCAGGGCCACTTCTTGGGGTGATGTCCCCCCCACCCTGGGGGATGGCCCCGTTGCTTTTGGGGAGCTCCCCATCAGCACTGTGCAGCTCTCCGCTGGAGAGGGGGGGATCAAGGCTTCTCCTGTTTGAGCCAAGCCCAGAGGAAGAAAACACTGCCAAATCCCAAAGGGAATGGGACCAGCAATGGGGCCAAGGGTGATGGAGGGGTGGTGAGGAAGAGGAGCAGCAAGGGAGGAAGGAAACGCTCCTTCAATCCCACCAGCTCTGGCAAGGTGGGTCTCAGCTTTCACTGATGGTGCTGCAGGTTTTCACCCAGAATGGTTTAAAACCATGATCCATCCCCAAATAATGCTGTGTAAAAGAGCCAATACAGTTCTGCTGGTTAGGAAAAAAAATAGAAAAAAATACCGGTATTTTTGGTCGTGTTTTGGTTTTGCCTCCCCCTCACCATGACAGGGGCAGGGTCTTGCCTCCTCCTCCTTATGCTGGGGGTCTGCCCCATCCCAATGGGGGAATAGCGGGTGGGAGAAAGGGGTGTCTTGAGGCCACAGCACTGCAGATGCCACCCATGGGACACTGCTGACCTCCAGGATTTATGGCAAGGGACGTAAATGATGCTGATGCCAGATGCAAAGTCTTTGCAATGATGCCTGGTCGTTAGCCACGCACTAACGACCCTGGCTGCTGGTGACGGGCCAGGCTGGCATCCTGCGGGGTCTGGGGGTGTCCCTTGTGCTTCTCCCCCCATCCCCAGGGTCCCCTCTGTCACCTGGACCTGTGACTGGGTCCCAGCAAACGCCTGCAAACTGGTGCTGAAGTGCGAGACCACTGCGGGCAACAAGCGGGGAACACAACAGAGTGAGCAGAGCAGAAATCGTCCGGAGAAGGAGCCTCTGCTCCGAGGTCCTGTCCCCATCGGGGCCACCCCCTGGGAGGCTGTGGGATGGACGGGGGCCCCCTAAAGAGCTGTGTCTTACCCCAAAGATGAGGTTGCCACCAAAGGGAGAAGAATAAACCCCCCCCTTCCC